GGGGTTTTTTTTTACATTTTCTCCCCACCTGAAAAAATGTGTGTGGAGGGGCAATTTGGGTTTTTTTTCGCCTGCTGATTTGAAAATGATACCAATTGGTGAGGGAGGTTAGAAAACCCCAAAATCCTATTTTTCAGTTTATTCTCCCAATGAAAGCCAAATTTTCCCACCAAAAAGTCACTTCAAAAGCAACAGTTTTCCCACAAAAAATGTTTTTTGTGATTAAAATTCATGTTTTTGGTGACAGTCTCAGTTGAAATATTTCCATCAGCTGGGAGGAGGGAGGATCTAAGTACTGGGTTTTCATTTGGGGGGGAAAGGGCTGTTTGAATTCATGTGAACAGGCCCATGTTACCATCCAAGTGAGGACAGGACAATTGTGCTCTTAACTCATGTAGCTGGGGTCTGAACGTCTGCACACTGCCTGTCAAACGGGTCGCTCACACACCTTTCCCCTGAGCAGAGATCAGGCCGGAGGGTTAAAGAAAGAGAAACAGGAATCTCCTCGCAATGGTGTGTCCCATTCCCTCCCCGCATGAGCCAGCCAGTCCCCTGGCCTGGGGCTGGATTGGAGCCGGCGCCCCCTAGAGGGGAAAGGCCCCATGTCCCTTTCAGCCTGTCTTACAGTGGCTCAAGAGCGTGGGCACCAACCTCAGGGAAGACAGGTAAGAAACAGGGCGCAAAACCCAAACTGGCTGTGAGCCCCACACTTAGATTTCACCAACCCAGTATCAAGTGTGAACTCCTCGGGTGCTTTAACAGCCTTAACATGGAGTCCCAGACAGTCCCCTGAGGCACCCAAATCTGTCTGGTCACCCAGGTGAGGCTGCCCTTGTGATAGACGGTCCCTTACACCAGAGATCACAGCAATATTCAGGTTACTCCCAGCCCCAAAGGACCCGTCACCTACCCCACATCAATTGCACCATAGATCTCACACCACAGACAACGCTTGTAGCCAATCCTGTAATAAACTGTCTCCAGATGTATTAAATAGGAGAGTTAGCTACAAAGTTAAAGCAGGTAACCATAGATACAAGTGCGTTACACTCTTAAGTTTCAGGAAGGTGTGGGCAGGAAGGTGGGGGCCTGATTTGGACACAAAGCAGCCCAGAATGCAACAGGCACCAACATCCCAGGACAGGGGGGACGATGGGGAGGGCGGGGCAGGGTGTTCGGATCGGGGGCCCTAGCTGCGGGGGACACATAATGGGGAGGAACAATCACCCCCCACCAGGGATGAAAGGATTTACCGTTACACCGGAGTCCTGAGTGGGGGTGTGGCCTCAACCGGAAGAGGCGGAGCCTTTCAAGATTTAAAGGCCCTGGGGCTCCGGTTGTGGCTGGGAGCCCCAGGGCCTTTAAATCACCCGGAGCTACCAGCTGCAGAGGCGGCTGGGAGCCCCGGGGCGAATTAAAGGGCCCGGGGCTCCGGCCACCGCGGGGCTCCGGGCCCTTTAAATCACCGCAGGAGCCCGGCTGCCGGAGCTCTGGCGGGGATTTAAAGGGCCGGGGGCTCCCCGCAGCGACTGGAGCCCTGGGCCCTTTAAATCACCGCCGCGGAAGCCGGTCCAGTCCGGTACGGCATACTGGCTCTTGCCGCTACGCCGTACCAGACCGTACCGGCTCACTTTCACCTCTGCCCCCCACCCTGAGCAAGGGTCTGTCCCAGCCCTGAGCACTGGGAACCTCTGTATGCAAGGGGGTAGGTAGATAGAGGAGTTTATGGGAATAGATAGAAAGAATTTACAATGTGTACAGTGACGGACTAAGTTCTCCTGGGGCCCTGGGCTGGAGCAAGTAGAGGGGCCCAGAACCAGAACCATGGCCCCACCTCACCCCTTCTGCATGCGCTCCCACCCCATTCCACCCCTTCCTCCTGTGGCCCCGCCCACAGTCCCACCCATTCTGCCCCTTCCCCCGCAACCCTGCCCGCAGCCCCACCCCATCCCACCCCTTCCCCCTCAGACCCGCCCACAGCCCCACCCTGTTCCACCCCTTCCCCTGTGGTCCTGCCCTGTTCTGCCCACGGGCCTGCCTCATTCTGCCTCTTCCTGCACAACCCCGTCCCTGGTCATTCCTTTCTGCCCCTCTCCTCCCTCCACCTTCCCCCCTGGCCCTGAGATCAGAGAAGCCCTGTGTTTTGTCATGGAGCTGTGGTGGGGGAGATTTTTCCAGGGGCCCCAAATTGGCCGGGGCCCCTAGGCACGGATCCCATTGGCCCGTGCAGTAATCCACCACTGAACATGTAGCTAGATTTCCAAAGGACACATAGGTTGGTCGATTTACAGCTGGGTCACTGAGATCAGAATCCAGCCCTGACCCCATCGACGTCAGTCGATAAATAGCCGGCCCTGGCTCCTGTGCTCTGAGCCGGCCCCTGCATCCCTCAGTCACAAGTTTCAGTGGTTTTTGTTTTCAAAAACAAAGAGGGAAACAGATTTTCCTGTATTGGAGGCTTCTCACATGAGCTTTCTCAGGAAGTGCCAAGGCAAGTCTCCCCAGGTGTGAGGAGTCGAGTCCTTCAGGCTGTCCGGGCTGATTTCCAGGAGATCCCTCAGCCTCAGTTTCCCATTTCTGAACTTCCTGAGTCTCAGTTTGGACAGGATGGTCTTCATGGCTCCTCTTCTCCCTGCAGACGGAAACGGAGGCGTTACCACCTGGGATGGCATCACAGCTCAGGGCCAGCTGCACCTTGGCTTCCTCTTGACCTCTTTGTTCTCAAGTTTTAGGCCTCAAGCCTTCATCTCCCTGCATGGGCAGCATGTCTAATAGGCAGGGGAAGGCTGTGCTTCCCCAAACAGCCCTGCCTGGCCCCACCCACGCTCTGTCCTGTTGTGTGTCTGAGTTAATGACTCGAGATTGTTGAAATGACAGGCTCAATTGAAATTATTTAATCTAAGATTATTAATCAGAGATTAGAACAGCACTATACAGAATACAGAAATAAATAGACACATTACCACCCTCTGTTGTCAGACTCAGAGCAGGATATGTGTCTGTCCTGCATCTGGAAGGGACATGCAGTTGTCATTCCCGCAACCAAAGTTTTCATATCACTATCGTTATAAAGGAAACCTAGCTGCCAAGAATATTCTCCCAGAAACGTATGTTGTGATGTCATTTCTATACAGTCTTAGTCTACCTGACTCATGTCAGAAGGCGGGATTATTTACAGCTGGGAGGACTAACAATCCTTCAAATTAATATCTCTCAGTGGGTCTTTCTTCCCCCACAATTTTTCTTCCATGTTGATTTCCCCAACAGAAAACATCTGCTATAATAATAATCTCTTATTAGTGTCCCTGGTCTAGATACGCTTATGTCAGCATTTTATATATACGTTAAGGAGATAGGTTCCAAGAATATCTAGAGGCTTATAGACATGAAGGCACCCTAGGCTTATTAAATACAGCATAATGAATAAATCCCAGAATACGGTTACTTATTGGTAACTTATTCAGTGTTCTTGTCCTTAGAATCCAGACATGCTCTTTGTTAAAGATAAAGAGTCTAAAGGCAACTGGGACTTGGGGTAGCTGGGACTGGCCCCTGTGCTGGGTGGGAGGGGTCCAGCACTGGGACCGTGCCACCCAAAGCTCCAGGGAGTGGGGAGAGGGGATGTCGCGCACCGCCCACCACTCTGGGGCTGTGGGGGATCTGTGCTCTGTCCGGTGCTCCAGGGCTGTGGGGGGGCATGCTCTGGGGCTGGGGGGGGGGGTATCTAGGGTTCGGGGGAAAGGAGAGGGAGGGGAGGGGCCTCAGAAGGAAGGGGTGGGCCAGGCCAGGGGCTAGCCTCCCCAAGCCTGTGGTTCACCCAGTGCCTATCTCTCCCTGGGGTGGAATCTCCCCATGCTCCCATTCACAGGCCAGGAAAATAGCTACAGATCCCAGATGTGTTTCCTCCTGTGGCTGGGTCTGGGCCTCAGCCGGACTCACCGCCAGGAGCTGAGGCCAGTGTGTGAATACAGGCAGGGACAGACACCAGCCTTCTCCAAACACCGTCTCCGTTAATCTCAACTGAGGGTACAAAAGCCTTACAAGCAAAGGGATCTAACCCACACAACCATTCCCCTCTAGGCTCAACTTCAAAGTTACAAAGCAGGAATAAACCTCCCTCTTGGCATAGGGAAAATTCACAAGCTAAAACAAAAGATGATCTAACGCATGTCCTTGCTATTACTTACAATTTCTGTAATTTTAGATGCATCATTCCAGTAGAAGGTGGATTACCTGCTTGGTCTCTCTCTCTGTCTCAAAAGGGAACACAACAAAAAGCACAAACAAAACTCCCCCCCCCCAGCCGATTTGAAAGTATCATCTTTCCCCATTGGTCCTTCTGGTCAGGTGTCAACTAGGTTAATGGAACTGATTAACCCCTTACAGGTAAAGTGATTCTGTACCTCTGGCCAGGAGAGATTTGATGTTACTGCATACGTAAAGGTTTTTACCCTTCCCTTTATATTTATGACAAGGATACAAAGCAGGGCTCATGTGGCAGTGGGTTCCAAAGATAAAGAAGCTACCCCAGAGGCAGCTGCATCTCAGCGCTCGGCGAGCCATCCCCATGTAGTGTTGCTGTGCTGCTGTTCCTCAGCTGTTCCACCCCAGAGGTGACTGCATCTCAGCCCCAGGTGACCATTACCCAGCAGTGGAAAGAGTTCAATATTTGCTAAGGTGTTTTGTTTTCAGTTCTAAGAAATGCCTCGTTTCTGAGAAGAGACAGTTGGGGGTGTCATTTCTGGACAGAGAGGAATTTGTAACATCCATAAATTCACAAGGTGGTGTATCTCTGTCCGGCCCCGCAAGTTGGTCACAGTTCCTGGCACTTTCAGTGCCCTTTAAAGCACGTGCACTTCCAGACCCTGCTGCTCCGAAGAGCCCGTGGGGGGATCTGGGGAATGAAGATTCTCTGCACCCTCCAGTCTCTGTCACTTGCTTTTCCAGCCTGGCCCCACCTCTCTGGGCCTCTCTGTGCTCCCCTCCCACACGTACACTGCCTCCCACCCCCTCGCACCACCAATGTGAGAGCAGGGCTGCCCCACCCACCTTCAAACCCCCGCCAGCTGGGCTGCTGGAAGGATAAGACACAGGGAGTTATGCTTTTGTTTCTCAGACAAAATTTCGCCAGCACGGAGAGCAGCGAAGATTTGGCCGGGTAAGAGCAGGGGGTGGAGGGGGGAGGGCAGAGGGCGTGTGGAGGGTGTTTGCCCCAATCTAGCCCATACCCCCCCCAAGGTGCAGGATCGTCCCCCCCACTCTATTCCACCCCCCCACCAAGGGGCAGGATCGTCCCCTCTGCTCTATTCCCCCAGGTTGCAGGATCGTCCCCCCCAGTCTATTCCCCACCCATGGGGCAGGATCGTCCCTGCTTGTTCCCCATGTTTCACCCTCCCTAACTGTGCTAGGGCATTGCCAAGTCACATGAGAAGTCTTGGCTCTCTGTGGGTGGAAATTCCCAGCAGCTGGGGGGTGGGGGTGGGGGTGCGGGACGGGGCAGTTCGGACCTTGCCCTCTGTCCAGCAGAAAGATAGGCAAAGACAGCGGCTAATCTACCCCCAACACTGGGTCTGGCTCATGGCGTGATTTGAAACACTGTCAAACTCTGACCAGTTCAACCAGCTAAAACCCGGGCAAACCCTTGGGCCTGTGGAATCCCCTAGAACCTGACTTGTCTTGCGTTAGCCGCAATCAGGACATTTAAAAGCTAATCTATGGAAGGAGAGCCGGCCCCTCAAATGTTCACACACACCCCCGAAAAAAGAGGGGTTCTATATATTTGCTTGCCGGTCTTTGGAGACACTTTTCCAGCCCTTGCCACTGGAGGGAGAAGCTGGAAAAGGGGCTCCAAAGACCAGCAAGCAAATATATAGAACCCCTTTTTTTTAGGGGGCTGGCTCTTTCCGTGGGTTAGTTTGTGCCTGTGATGTGCACTGCTTTGCCTTATCACAGCGCAGCAATCCCATGCCTCCGGCAGCTAGCGATTGCAGGAAAACCCCAACTGCCCTGTGAATCTGGCAACTTTTCGATGGATGAAATCCTGATAGATTTCGTCCAAAGAGGGAGGGAAACAAAATTCCCATCTTCTATCTTGACGGGGGGGGGGTGAGTGTCCACTTAGGATGAAAAAACGAATTGGGCCGGCCCTGTTGCTTGCTCAGGAGACATCACTGATGGTAGGAGAGATAGAGCCGGTCCCCTTTGGGGCCCATCGGTGGCTGGGAGGGATCCCAGGGTGGGAAACTGGGGAGTCTCCAGCAGAAAAAGAGGAGACTTTGGTGCTCCAGGACTAGAGCCCAGCGTTAGGGGAGTGGGGGTGGG